AAAAAAACAATATAGCCGCACGGCTGTACGATTTGTTTTTTAAAAACGTACAAAACAGAGTAAACAACAGTCTCCCAATACCCCAAACAACGAAAAACAAAATGTATAAACACAGAAGATGATGCAGATTTGGAAGAAAAATGGAGGGCAGATGGGTAGCAACCTAATCGACATGTTTGGGGCTCTGAGCTCAGCACGATTATTATTGGGCTCGTAGCACAAAAAAAACCCACGTTTTTTAAAGTTATAGCCGGTCGGCTATACTATTTATTTTTCAAATATAATATGGCCGAACGGCTGTACTATTTGGTTTTTCTCAAAACAGTATAGCCGCGCGGCTATACTATCGACATAAACATTACTTACACGAAAAAGGTTGCCACACACTTGATAATGTCAAGAAGTATGGGAACAGTCGAAGCATTTTTTAATATATGCGGCAATATATGCACTTGGAGATATAGCCTGTATAGAAATAACACAAAAAATAACATGAAATAAAGTAACAGCATAAATGGAAAGTCAGAATGAGTGATGATTTCCTAAACAAATACCAACTACATTCACAATCCTTTGTGGACATTTGAAATTGTTCAAAAGGGACAGAACAAATGGGGAACTTCTTGGATGGCCCCTAGCATGCAGAAGCCAGATAGGCAGACTGACAATGCAATTACTGGTATACTTCTGGCAACCATCCAAAGAGGACAATAAACGAGACTAATAGAATCTTTGCAGTGGTCAACCACACGGGCAAAAAGAACACATTCATGGTCACCTACTTTGGGATGACAACGAACATATGAATCTTGCATTTTGGCAGACTATATTTTTTACAGTAAACCACATGAATAGTTTTGCAGACCTTCAACAGGCTAGTCTGTCGAGCATTATCGCCAGAGAGTCCTCGCCAAGAAACCTCAAATTGATATGCCGAATTTGGTGGTGTGATCTTTTCCGCAGCTACTTCCTTGACTCGGGAAGCAGCTCGAGAAGCAAGCTCTTGTACCGATGCCTTCACCTCTTGCTTCCTAGTTGTGTTATTTGTCTACAAAATTATCATAATATAGACTAGTTCAAGAGACTAAAAGACACAGATGCAAAAGAAATAAATAAAAGTCTAAAGCAAATAAGAAGATAAAGCCATTGACAACAACAATTAATAAGGTATAAAGACAAATGCAATTAATAAGGTTCATAAACAAGTCTATCTTACTTATTCACCTGTTACTAAGAAGAAACGAAAACTCAATGACAACAACAAAAAATCAAGTAAAAGGAGCAACGAAACACTTTTCTTGACACCTTAGTGTGATCTTGAACTGCAGTCATTTCTGTTATTTGAGCACTAACTAGAGACAGGCTGGAAGCTTTGTCCGTTCACTTTGGTATTCAACTTTCCCACTTTCTGCATTTCTTGTACAGAATTTTTCCGTGCTCCAGATGCTTTCTGAAGAATTGTCTGGGAATTAACAATTCAAACGAGTCAATTTAATAATAAATGAACAGGTAGATGAGCATGATATACACCATCAAACAAAACACAAGAAATGAATGATAGACTCTGAAAAATCAAAACTCGCCTTTCAAAAGCAAGCAGACCTGCATAGCTCGGACCTCTTCACCTTCCGACCCCTTCCTCAAAGCATTTCTGCTCTTCTTCTTCTCCTTCACTTCCGGAACGGCAGACAACTCCTCAACCTCCTCCTGAATACGGTCCAATTCTAAGGCTCTGGAACTCGACCCTGTCTCCGCTATCAGATTTTTCTCCGTCAAAATCTGCAACAAGCCGGCGATGTTGGGCATGGCGGGGGCTAGGCGGCTAGGCGAGGGCTAGGCGGCTAGGCGGGGGCTAGGCGGGCGCGCTAGGCAGCTAGGCGGATGCTAGGCGGGCGCTAGGCGGCTGGGCGGGCTTCCTAGGCGGGTTGGGTCTTTTTTCAGTGCCAAACCTGGAGGACGAAGCAGCCGAAACCGAAGAAAACCAATTGAAGCTTGAGTTTGATAGAGAAGCGAAGTGGGTGTGACTGCGAGTGCAAGCTTCGTGTTAATATTTAAAGAGTATAGCCGGGCGGCTATACTCTTAAAATATTCGAATATATTAATATTTACAGAGTCTAGCCATGCGGCTATACGTTTAAAATATTTCCAGCTATTAGCCCATTGGGCAGGAATAAAAAAAAAAGGATTTTATTTATAACAAATAATACGGGTTAAACCCATAAATACAACAACAAAAAATAGGGGTCCACCAACATTTTGTGGATCAAAGAATGTTGAATTTCGTAGTATAAAATTGCTTGTATAGGAATTTACTTTTTAAAATGTATCCATTGTAATTATGAACTAAACCCAATTACAGTTTTTTTTCTCATTGCACTTGACAACCCTTCTCTTCTGCTATGAGATATATCAGTCCGCGATATATTCTATGCAGATGAAAAATTGGATACAAAACAATCTAACGAGACAACGAAGAGAAGTTTGCAGCTCTGTTTAGAAATAAATTAAAGGTAACATAAATCATATGACATTGATATACGAACTATTCTAAATGAGAATTCAAACAACATGTGTTAGATGAGAATTACTTAAACTCTAACTAAAAGCATAAAAATAGGAAAACACTTTCTCACGACATCTCTCCGCTATGAAAGTGACTAACTAGACTCCTACAATTACTCAACTAAAGTTTAAAAGACATGCAACTCTATAAGCATTCAACAACTAAAGACACGTTGCCACTACTTGAAGCAGTTCCACTAAGCACGTGACAGAGTAGGGTCCTGCCTCCATCTTTCATGCATGTAAAGTCATTTTCTACTTCACAGTTTGGTAGTTCAAGTGAGCCCGCATACTATCCTGGGATATATGAAAGGATTGCGGATAGTGATGAGATCATGAGAGACTGATATATCAAGCAGCACTAGAGGTATTTCTGCAGCCATAAGTTAACGAGGTACCAAATACCTGCACAGTGTAAATAGGATCTGGAACTTTTCTCGTTTTTTGTGTGTACCAAAATTTGCCTCTAAAGGCTAAAATACAGAATTTGGCCACAGGGTGCAAATTTTGGTATACAAACAGTTTTATATGAGTCCATTGTGTACTTGGCTTATTTTTGTAATTTTTGTTATGATATGTGTTTTGTTCTGAGATTTATTAAAATAAAAATGATTAGGTATAGAATACCTGGGAAGAGCCTTCTACGTTTGGAAACCCAAGAAGGGGTTTTTCTATGTCAAGACAGTTTTTTTAATTTAATTAATCAATTTTCCAACGACAAAAAAAATTTAATTAATCAATTTATTATTTATTTAAATTAAAATCCATGTTGGAAGGATGTGATTGGTGATAAGAAATCCACCACAGCCGGTTCTCCAGTTTTTTTAAGGTGGTTTTTCTTCAGAACTTATTATGGATGGTTGGATCAAAATCATTTAAATCCAGCCGTTGAAAAACCGGTTGATGTAGATTAGAATTTTCGCTGGACTCCAGAAACCCTAGCTCTTGGTCTTGGGCATCAGATCGGAGCGCTCTGTCTCCCTCCTCCCTCCCTCTTTCTGTGTGTCTCATAAAACCCCAGCAGCTTCCCCCCTCTTTTGGCATCGAATCGATGGGCAGTATTGTGGGCGATCTTCGTTTCCGTTATAAAGGCGGTATGAGGCATTTGACGCCTTTCCCTGTCTTATTGGGCATTCCGTTGCAGATCGAATACGTTAGTGATATGGAGAGCAAAGCAAAGTACATATTATTGTGTGGGAATCAGAGTGGTTTCATTGAATTGGCCAAGGATAAGGTTGACGATACGTTTTCTTGTATCCTTGTGTACACAGAAGAGCCCGCCACGTACTGGGCGGTCGACTTTGTAAGGAAGATGAAGGAGGACTTGGATCTCCCAGTGTTAGTTGTCGGGGACAGTAGTCCACTTGCGGTGAAGAGTTTCTCTCATTTCGTAGCATGAGGATGCGATATAAAGAGTTTCTCTCATTTTTGTTTGTTCCAACACAAACAGAGCACTCCTCTGCATCTCCAGCATGAATCAACACAACCTTATGCTCGAATTTCTACTTTTGGAGAAGTTGAGGGCTGCGCAGCTAGGGCTTGTTCCTATTTCGCTTGACGACCAGCTTTGATTGCGCAATAAAACAGAGTAAACAACAGTCCCCAAATACCCCAAACAACGAAAAACAAAATGTATAAACACAGAAGATGATGCAGATTTAGAAGAAAAATGGAGGGCAGATGGGTAGCGACCTAATCGACATGTATGGGGCTCTGAGCTTCAACGGTCCAGTTGGAGGCGATCATTGGTATATAGGTTTTCTTTAAAATTGAGGGGAAAAAAACAATTTTAAACAGTATAGCCGCGCGGCTATACGATTTTTTAAAAGAGTATAGCCGCGCGGCTATACGATTTTTTAAAAGAGTATAGCCGCCCGGCTATACAGGCTACAGCGTCGTTTCACCCCAAACTTGAAAGCCGATTTCTTGGACCTGGAGATCCGCTCCGTTTATCCCACAGAGCCCAGCCCGATTATTATTGGGCTCGTAGAAATAAAAGGTGTACCAAAAAAATTGTGTTTTTTTAAAGGTATAGCCGGGCCCAGCCCGATTATTATTGGGCTCGTAGAAATAAAAGGTGTACCAAAAAAATTGTGTTTTTTTAACGGTATAGCCGGCCGGCTATACCGTATATTTTCTAAATAAAGTATGGCCGAACGGCGGTACTATTTGTTTTTTGGGTTATTCGCAGCAATGGTCCCTCAACTATACCCGTAGTTACACTTTGGTCCCTCAATTCAATTATTAGTTGCAGGGGTCACTCAACTAGGTGCTATGTTGCACCAGTAGTCCTTCCGTCAAGTCTGTGGCTTTTTCCGGTTAAAAATGAGGGTAAATTCGGAAATTCGTCTACAACACTCCCTTTCCTCCACAATCCTCCATTGCCGCAACCTAATGAATGGAGGAAGGATTATGAAGAGTTGGCCAAATAAATCGATGTGGCTAATCCCAATCAAATGTATTTGAGGTTTTTGTTTTCTTTCTAAACGAATCTAAACTTTTTTCATCAAAACCAAGGGCAGTAACCTTCTTCCCTTTCTTCCCCTTCACTGTCTGGATCTCACCCATCATGATGCGGTTACTCACCACATTAAATCCCAAGACAGCAGGGCTAACCTTCTTCCCTTTCTTCCCCTTCTTCTTGCCCCCCCCCTTGGAGGACCCATCTTGGTCAACATCCCAGCCTCTGCACCGTACGAATTCACATCTCCACCACCAAACCCGGTGAGCTTTTGATCATTCTGACTTTGAAACGCAATTTCAAGGACATCAGCCGATAGCAACTCCTTGTAGTCGGCAAAACTCAAGGAAACTCGTATCTAGCAAAAATTTTAATTTAAATCAGTGATACAATTAATTATGACAATTAATATCGCAAGAAGAATGCATTTGGACCAACAAAAAATGAAGCCTATATTAGTATTACACCTCTGATCAAGGAAGCCACATGCCTCAATTGTGTGTGTTGTGTGCCGGTTTTCATGTCCCTAAATCATTTGCTGGGGTTCAATCAAAGGATTTGGAGTCGGCATACGCTCAGCCCAGAAGAGATTGGAGTTATCTTCGAAGGCGGAGACCCACTCCTTGCTCCAGACGCCGGAGCCTTAGGGCCAGGTGGTCTTGCCGACGCGGGAGTCGAAGAGGTCGCGCCAGTACTTGCCATCGTAGTTCTTGAGGGTGGCCATGTCGTGCTAGACATCGAGGAGGCCGCCGGAGTCGGATCGGTAGACGATCTCATCGAGGGAGTAGGACTCGAAGTCGACAGCGGCAGCAGAGGAAGGGTCGCCGTTGAAGGGGACGTAGTGGGCAGAGAAATGGTGGGTGTGGGTTGTGTTGTGGTAGCGAGCTTCATCGACTGTTGCAGCAATGGAGGATTGTGGAGGAAGGGAGGGTTGTGGATGAATTTCCGAATTTACCCTCATTTTTGACAGAAAATTTAACAGAGTTTGACGGAAGGACTACTGGTGCAACATAGCACCTAAAATAGTAGGTGCACACAAAAAAACCACGTTTTCTTTAATTAGAAAAATAATAATAATAATAAGAGAGAGAGAGAGAGAGAGAGAGAGAGAGAGAGAGAGAGAGAGAGAGAGAGAGAGAGAGAGAGAGAGAGAGAGAGAGAGAGAGAGAGAGAGAGAGAGAGAGAGAGAGAGAGAGAGAGAGAGAGAGAGAGAGAGAGAGAGAGAGAGAGAGAGAGAGAGAGAGAGAGAGAGAGAGAGAGAGAGAGAGAGAGAGAGAGAGAGAGAGAGAGAGAGAGAGAGAGAGAGAGAGAGAGAGAGAGAGAGAGAGAGAGAGAGAGAGAGAGAGAGAGAGAGAGAGAGAGAGAGAGAGAGAGAGAGAGAGAGAGAGAGAGAGAGAGAGAGAGAGAGAGAGAGAGAGAGAGAGAGAGAGAGAGAGAGAGAGAGAGAGAGAGAGAGAGAGAGAGAGAGAGAGAGAGAGAGAGAGAGAGAGAGAGAGAGAGAGAGAGAGAGAGAGAGAGAGAGAGAGAGAGAGAGAGAGAGAGAGAGAGAGAGAGAGAGAGAGAGAGAGAGAGAGAGAGAGAGAGAGAGAGAGAGAGAGAGAGAGAGAGAGAGAGAGAGAGAGAGAGAGAGAAAAAAAGAAAAAGAAAAAAAGAAACGCTTATCTCTTATTTAGTGAGTTATTTTTGTTGTTGCTGTAATCTTATTTAGTTGGTTAGTTGCTGGCTGAAATTAGTATTTGAATATGATGAAGTCTCACCAAATAACTCATTATTGATTGATTCTAACAACTTTTGCTTGGTAGTTGCTATGTTTCTTTCACTGTCACCAGCCAATATTCATTTACGCATTTGACCCTTATAATATTGCCTAGCTAGCAGTTTAGCAAAAACATATCCTTAATGTTATTATATTTCCTATTTTCTTTATCTCAACTTATTTTTATGTGTATTTCATGGATCATGTAAAACATAACTAATATGATTTCTTAATAGAAAACGACGCCTAATTTATATCATCTCTTGTCGTTGTTTTACCACCAAAATAATTTACCAAGAAAAATAAAAACACACACACACGAGAGGAATCCTTAAACCCACTCTTAACAAAATGATTTAGAGGAAATCCAAATTTCATGTCGCTATCAGAAACAGAAAGTGTCACTTCTCTTTCTTCTTGTTCTTCTTTTCTTTTGTTGAGAAAGAAAGTGTAACTTCTTTTGAATAAATAAAACAGAACAAATGCTGGCTTTAAAATCATTATCGCAATCGTTACCTTGCTATTGCTTGCAGCATCCTCCTTTTTTGACTTCTTTTGCAGCCTGTTCAATTAATTTGGGAATTGCTTTTATTACATAATATTTGGCCACAAATTCAGCATTTTGGCCAATGCGGGATTACCACAGTGGTTGTGTCACTCCTCTTCTCCGCCCCAGGATCGAAACACCAGGTTTCTTTCCTCCCAATATAAATAAAAAATAAAAAAATTCAGCATTTTGTATCCAAAAACTATTATGAGAAAATAAAAAGGGATTTGTTTGTAGCGAAAATATTCTATCCCAACATCACACGCAACGCAACTAGGAAAAACACTTCCCAACTTTACGACAACGAACTTCAAAAAAGAGAAGGAAAATCCGACCTCCCACTTGCAAAAGCCCAGTCAGTGCTAATTCAACTATTATGTCTCTTCTCTTTCGTCTGGTCTCTGTCTAAATTTGCAAAGCTTTGAGCTTTAAGCTTTAAGCAAGCAGCTTAATTTTACCTTTAGCTTGCAATTGCATACAACTTACCAGTCCCGTGCCACTCCAAAGTGCAGAGGTTCAAGTGGATCTGGTTCTGATTTTCACGTGACAGAAATGATGAGAGAGAGCTTTAGCTCTCTCCTTCTTTCTCTCTCCCTAGCTACTTAAGCTTTTGCTTGAGCCCTAAACACCCAACATTTTGCCTTTGGGAGCTGAAAGTTGTTAATGCAAGAGCAGCTAATTAATTGATTAATTCATGAAGCGGAAGGCAGGTCCGCAGAAAGCACAGTACAAATGGAAGAGGAAGCTGTTCGTTGCGCTTTTGATGGGCTTTTGCTTCGGGACGTTGGTGTTGCTGATGCACACTCAGTACAGTCGGATTATGACACTCTCTTCGTTGCGTTCTCAGCTCACTCAATCCCCCAAGATCGCCTTCTTGTTCATCGCTCGCAATCGCCTTCCCTTGGACCTGCTTTGGGATGTTTTCTTTCAGGTAATTGCTATTTTTGTTTTTATCTAATTTCCTGATTAAGAGTTGTAGTTAATCATATAGATAATTGCTTGTTGGAAATTTATGTGAAAGATGCATTTTTGTTTGCAGGGAGGGGAGAGTAGGTTTTCAATTTATGTTCACTCTAGGCCTGGGTTTCTGTTCAACAAGGCCACCACCAGATCGGTTTTTTTCTTGAATCGTCAAGTCAATGATAGTACACAGGTGGGACTTCCTATTTCCTTACATGAATTCTCAATTTGGAAATACAATATGTCATCTGTGTTTGTGTGCTCATTATAGTATGCTGGAAAGGTTTGATTTTCTACTGATAGGTATGACTTATGAGTATCTGGAAGATGAAAATTCTTATTGAAAACTTCAAAGGGTCAAGTGAGAGAGTTAATGTACATGTTAATTGAGTGAATTTTACTTTTATTTTATGTATATTTAAGGATTGAATTGTACTCTATGCATGAAGATGATTTCTTTTCGTATCTTTATCCGGATTATTATATTTATTTCATGTGTTCTATACCAGGTAGATTGGGGAGAAGCAAGCATGATTGAGGCTGAGCGTATATTACTGAAGCATGCACTTGAGGATCCTCTTAATCAACGCTTTGCCTTTCTTTCTGATAGGTGAAGATTAGCTTGATCGTTTCCCCCTTAGGTTTCAGTGACATGAACAGAGTTCTGAACTTCTGATAGTTTCTTTTTCGGCAATCAATAGAACTTCTGTTTTTTGTATCATCTAACAATATTTCAGATACTTAATCTCTTTTCAGCTGCATTCCTCTTTACAGTTTCAGCTATATATATGACTACATCATGTCAACAAGAACCAGCTTTGTAGACAGGTGAATAGAACAACTCAAATATGTATTATTATGTATATTTGAAGGAATCAGTTGTCTGTGGTCTGCAGTCATTAGTCGGTATCTGCATTCTATATCGTTACAGACTAATTTATTTCCCATCATTATGATTTTCATCAATCGAGGCCACTTGGGTTCATCTTCAGAGTTCATACATATTGTTATTAGTATGGATCACAATGTGACTCTATTTCAAGCATGGATCATTTTATGTTATCACTAAATGTTTTGTGAACTATGTTCTACAATGTTATATACACATCTTTCTTATGATGGTCAATTTAAAAGTATATTTAACTATTAACTTTTGGAGCAGCTTTGCCGATACAAAAGAGGGCCGCTATAATCCCAAAATGAATCCTGTTATTCCTGTTCATAACTGGAGAAAAGGATCTCAGGTACAGGTTCAGTATGATGGATTAATTGCCTCTTGAGTTTCAGTGCAACACTGAAAAGGAAACCTAATAATATGCCTTTTATTTTCTACTGTGTGACTTTTCTGGCGATCATCTTATTCTTTTCTTTTGCCTTTTCTCATTGCAGTGGGTTGTTTTGACCAGGAAGCATGCTGAGGTTGTAGTGAAAGACTATACAGTCTTTCCTATGTTTCAACAGCATTGCAAGGTAATTTTTCATTACATTGTTATCAGACCATTGCATGGATAAATGTTGCAGTTACAGCCTTTTTGGTTATTCCTGTAACATGGTATCTTTGTGAGAGAATCCATATATTGCATATAAGGAATACAGATATTGCAGAAGGATGGCCGCTTTTATCAACTAGAAAAAATTGGCATATTGTAATTGTTGAACTTTATTTAATAAAACACTTCAACTAAATTCACATATACTGTTGTACCTAAAACTGGAAAGGAAAGCTTTACTCCTTGCAATGAGTAGCTGGCATATTAGTTCCTTATTTTGCACAGGATTCTTAATAATTATTAAGTACCCTTTTTGGTTTTTATCAGTTGACACAGTACTCTATTTATTTTTCTTTGTGATCTTGTGAAGTTCTTTTTTTATATATAAATTTTTTGGTTACTTTTGGTTTTTTCTCTCTCATATTTTACATGTTCTATGTGTGGCAATGACGCAGACGAAGTCGCTACCTGAGTTTTGGCGGGATCGTCCCATTGTAAGTACTCTTATTCATCTTTTAAACCTTTACTTCAACTACCACATCGGCTTTCCAATCAAAGCAGTCTATCACCAATACTAACAATCTGTTGAAATATCAAATCCATTTTCCTGTCCTATTTCTTATTCATTTGAGGGCTCTGATGTAAATTTGCTGACACAGTTTTCAAGAGGTGAAGTTTGATTTTGTATTCTGATTGCAGCCTGCTGATACATCCAAGGAGCACAATTGTATACCAGACGAGCATTATGTTCAGACATTACTGGCTGTAAGATAAATTTATTTCTAACTATTGCAATCCTTGTTTATGGGATCTGGACGGAAACCTGGACTTGTTTCTTTATTAGAAGAATTATGGTTCATTAATTTATACCTGAACAATATTGGTCAAATAGGAAGAAGGTATTCATAGGCATTAGGCAGATTGAGGCTTCAATTGAATACATTTACGTGGGAATCCATTCAGAATATTTTTTGTCCTCCTCCCCCTCCCTTTTTCTTTTGGAAAGCTAAAACAGCGGTGGAAGCTTTTACGATGCCATAATAGTTTAGCTCTCTAAGAAAGCTGTATTTTAAATTTCAGCAAGAAGGCCTCGAAGGAGAAATCACGCGTAGATCACTGACACACTCATCATGGGATTTATCATCCTCTAAAGACCGTGAACGCCGTGGATGGCACCCTGTGACTTACAAATATTCAGATGCTACTCCCATGCTTATTAAATCTATAAAGGTATTTATATATTTGATGTGGCAGCAAGCTATCTATTAGAAATCATATAGTAAAGGTTGGATCAACTATACATTGATGAATCTCATTCCTAATGCCACCAAAATATAGGCAAGACACAAAATGATGGAAACGACATGGTTGTCCAACAAAGTTCTCTTGATGTTTTATGAAATCAGACTATTTCACTTCTATCATTCTAATATGTTTCAACCTGAGGATTCACGGATATGAGACTAATGGAATCCAAATGTTTTCTTTCTTATACAAGCATCAAACCCATTAAACCCATACAATGGTTTAAATGTACATCTTTAATATTCGTAGAGATTTTTCTGGACTGTTATTTGAATTTAATAATAGCTTTTAGCATCAAACCCATTAAACCCACCCATGCAATGGTTTAAATGTACATCTTTGATATCCGTAGAGATTTTTCTGGACTGTTATTTGAATGTTAATAATAGCTTTGGAGACTGATTTGGAAAGTTAAGTTACACAGGTTATCAGATTCAATTAATGTAGCAATGTTCCTGTTGAAGCTAGAAAAGCATGAAAACAATTTCGATGATTTTTTATATTTTTTTTCAGGAGATAGATAATGTCTACTATGAGACTGAATACCGGAGAGAATGGTGTAGTTCCAAGGGCAAACCATCCAAATGCTTTCTTTTTGCACGAAAATTTACCCGGCCTGCTGCTCTCAGGCTTCTTAACACGGTACGTTTCAGAATTCAATATGTAGATCAGCACTGTGTTCAGGATTTTGCGTATACTCATATTTATTAACACATGGTTATGCATGTTTTTCTATTTGACAGACTGCACTGGAACTTAAACGGAGCAACGATTAAAGTCTAACTCTGGTAAAGTTTGTTTTCAGCTAATCCGGCTAATCTTGATACATATTAGAAAATAGTAATTAGATTTGCAATGAGCGGAATAAAAGAAAAAGGAGGTTGTGTAAATTTTGTTGGGAAGGGGGAGGTGGGGAAGGAGAGGGACAAGGGTGTTGTACTGTGGTATGTATTCTTTTTAGAACAAAACAAAAAAGGAAAAAAGAATTACACAGAATAAAAAGGGAACTATTGCTTTCTATTTCTCCTCCACTGTACGAGAAAAACTTAGTTGCAACGGAGATAACACTGTTTTGCTATCTTTCGCCAATAATGCTATGTCATGTGGAAGTGTTATCATGGGTGTCATAGAGTTATTGGCCGGGATGGTAAAATAGTGTTATCCCCGTTTCATGGAAGTCTTTCTCCCACTCCTTATAGGGTTTGGGTATTTAAATTCTTTATCTCCCGGGGAGCTGCATGTTATGGCATGTTGCCGAAAGATGGACAAACTAGGCCAGTTGGCAACTTTTGACCCAAGGGTTTAGACTTGGGCCTTAAATCTGTGATCTCTAATTTCGCCAATACAATAGAGACACTATAACTAATTTTTAATTTTATTTTATATAAGTGTTGGTGAAAGGAATGGACTCATTATCCAAACCAACTCACCTCAAACCAAACAAACAAAAAGGAAAAGTAGAAAAGATTTGTGTTTTGCATAATAGAGAAAGAAAAGTTTTGGGTATGGGTAGCCTCAAATACTTTTTTTCATGGTTTATATGGTGGGTCCATGCTGAACACGCATTGCCGGTCATTGAGTTGAGTGAGTGAGAAGTATTCATTCTACCTCAAAGAATAATGAATGTGATGGATATTTGGATTGGGTCTCTGTGTGCTTCTATTCTCGCCCTCGGGTGCATGTTACTTGTCTCTGTTTGCCTACTGAAACATCAATGAAAACCAGTACAATTATTAAATGGTTTCATTCATCGACTTTGACTCAGAAGAAGATGAATTTGTTGAATTGTCGATGTCTAATTATTTGATAACCCATCCATCATATTTTATAGGGTTAATTGTTTTATTAGTCCTTGAATTTAGATCCGATTTGCATTTGAGTACCTCAATTTCCAAAATGGTTCCCGTTGTCCTTTAATTTTAATTTCGTTTGGACAACTAGTCCCACCGTTACTTCTGTCAATTTTTCTGTTAATTTCAGGGGTAAAATGGTATTTTTAATCAAAATTGATTGAAATATGATTAAAAAATTAAAATTAAACTCTTTCTCTCTCTCCTTCTATCCCGATTTCTACTCCCCCAAACTTGACGATTTCTACTCCCCCAAAATTTGAATTTTCTTTTTCTTATTGGGTTGGTTTTTTATTTGATTTTCTTTTATTGTTATTTTAAAGATATGATTTTTTATTCAATTATTTGGTTTTAATATATAAATACCATTTTGCCCCTGCATTTAACAGAAAAAGTTAACAAAATTGACGACATGATCATTTGTCCTAACGAAAGTGAAGTTAAAGGACCACGGGAACCATTTTGGAAATTGAGGTACTCAAATGCAAATCGGGTCTAAATTCAGGGACTAATAAAACAATTAACCCTATTTCATATATCATATCAGGCTTCAAAAACCAGACACGTAAATGGAACTTTAGATTTTGAAAGGGCAAGCAAATGCAGATGTCCTCCACTCACCGGCACACAAAAAAGTCCCGCCTGTAATAATCTATGTATATACCATGACGTATGATTTGTGGCATCAACATGGCATGGGCATGTAGCACTATATCTCCCAATAGCACTGCTCCCCAATTTCCGGCTCACAGCACCAGAAAACACCTTTTTGACTTTGTCATCATCATAGCTCAGACTATATGTTAATCAGAAAAAGTAAATGAAACTTTTAAACTATACGGTGGTTGGGTCTTGTTGGGAGGAATAAAGAATTATTGAGATTACGAATTTATAAGTTGATTCTGACTGTTGATGTATTTTCGAATTGGGATCTTAACACGAATTTGTAAAACAGTACGAACCGTTAATTAATATTCTTCATGTATTTATAACTTGATTCTGACCGTTGATGCGTTGTGGATAAATCATTTTATCACGAATTTGTTTACGTATGAAACGTGGGAGGTTCTATCCTATCCTATCCCATGTTATTCTAGAATTTCAGATTTTAGGTAGTTACAACTTACATCGTAACGCGGCACTGTATGGGTGTTCCACGTAGCACATATTCTTATTTTAAACGTAAAAGAGCAATTGGTCGGTGGAACTAGAGCCTAAGATGTTTACACGTGGCAATGTCGGCACACTGTCGACTATGGGCCTATATAGTATTGCTAACCTAATTCTACGGACTGAGGCCCACGAAAATACCACACGCTTTGAATAAGAATATAATACTTTAACTTTTATGAGATAAAACTTTGGAAGAAAAACCAACCAATTATTTATCCAGCAAAAAAGAAAAAAGAAAAACCAATTGTTTATAGGTATATTCTGGGTCCAACCAACCACACTGCATGCATGATGAATCCCAAAAACACAAAACAAGTTTTTGAAAAAAATGGAACGTATAGAATATTATAACCCAAGACAAAACAAAATTTGAAGAATCGCAACATAAATTTTCCACGGAGTTCTGGAAGGCACGTAACTGGTTGATAACATCAACAATTTAAGACTTTTCCTTTTTATAAAGGAGATTTTCCAAATAAATAAAATAACAAAGTAACAATTTAAGGATATTTTCCTTGTAATTTGATTGGCCAAAACGATAGTCAATCATTCATCTGTTCAAGATTTCAATAGATCTTGTCTCCTGGCTTAATTAAGGCCCCGTTTGGTTCACGGAATGGATTTGAGGGGAAATTAATTCCCATGTCATTTCCCAAGGAATGGGAATGACAGATTCCTTTCCCACGTTTGGTAATGTTGGGAAAGTAATCGGGAGATTTCACTTTGTTTCCTTTCCCATGTTTGTTTTGAGTAGGAATGGAAAACAAAATTTGTATAATTTTCCAATTATACCCATATTAAATCAAATAAAAAAAGAATGCATTTAATTATACGTTGTAATTATAAATTGTTCATATGGACAAAATAGTCATGAAAATTGTGCATTGAATGTTGGCACATTTTCCCAAACTTTCCCATGAGGAGGGAAAGCAAAACCCAAGTTAAGAGGGGGGCATCACTTTCCCCCCTACTTTCCCATGTGCCAGGAATCCGTTTCCCATTCCCGGACTTACCAAACATGGGAAAGCAATTGAATTCCCATTCCTATGCCTCCTTTCCCATGAACCAAACGGCCCCTAAGGGTTTAGGATTTGGAAGTCAAGAACCTCACATATATAATTACTTAAAAAATATTTTATATATTTTATTGAATCTTGAACCATACTTAATTAATGAAAATGAGGGCTTTTCGCTTTTCCTTTTTTTTTGTTTTTTTTTTTGGTTTTTGGAAAGATTTACTATTATACCCAATATAGGAGTCCAAATTATAAAAAAAAAATCATATATGAAATGGACTTTAGAAACACACCCAAAACACATTTACAACATAATAAAAAGGCTTTTAACTTCTTTTAAATTACAAAACTGCCATTTATTTCTTAAAACAAACCCAATCCCAAAATCTCAAAAAAAAAAAACACAAAAAACTCAAAAGGCATCAAAGTAATTTAATAATCAAAATTAAATTCAATAGGGTCATCTATCATGTTTTGGGTGTGTTTATATAAATTAAATGGTGTAGAGTTTATTTGTAGTTTTAGTGTTAAGAATTGGTATATGACTAAATATCTCTTGTTGTTGGGCCATGTCACTTTGAGATCGTATCATATACGTATAGATTGATTCCTTCAACTTGGGAGGATAAGATGACATGTGTATTCGTGAACCATTATGAGTAATTCATATTATCTCTTTGTCAAAAAAAAAAAAAAAACAAAAAAAAAAACAAAGATAAAAATAACGTAACACATGCATGGAAAATACGAGCATATGTATGCAACGTAAACCTCCGACGTCAAAACTCTGTATTTATGAACTTTTAATTTATAACCGTAATAGCTTGTATTATATATGTCCAAGTAAAGCTACGTACACATGCACATCCGTTTAATTGATCATGTGCACCTGTAGGTTTTCATGAACCCTAATATTTCGACCAAATTAAAACACTATTCCTTCATTTTACAAGGTGATTGAACATCAGCACTCATAGCCTTGTAATTTGCATGAGGGCACCAAGCCTTCATTCAATTTTCACCATGTATCTCCTGAAATAGTAAAGGGCTTTACTTTGGTTAATAAAATTAATGAATCTTTTTTTTTTTTTATTGGAAAGAAATTAATGTATTGAATTACATCAAACAATTTGAAACAATTTGTTTTCCTTTGATGGCGATATTAAGCGCGTGACGTTCTCCATTAAGGACAAAGTAATTCAGAAAACTATATATAATTCATGTTTTTTATGTTACAGTTGAGGCCTCTAATGGATAATTTGAGAAAGAATTTCATTTATCTAAATTTATTTTATTTTTAAAGAAACATAGGCTGGCCCACATCATTACATCGTACCGTTGATTTAGTTTATTATTTTGTTTGAAAAAGTTACCAAGATGTCAAACGAAACTTCCACCTCACCTTGGTGGCCACTTCTCATTCGTCTATAAAATTGACGACCCTACATTCACGGAGCCACTCATCATCACAACTTAAAACTTAGCAAGTTCTGATTTTCCTTCACACCCAATCAAAGTCATCACAGATTCTTTCCCAGATCATTCTTTGATTCTCCGTTCTGAAAAAAGAAAACCCTACCATCCATTTCTCTATATAAACCCACCCTCGCTCTTCTCCCTTTCTTCACCGCACCCAAAAACCAAAACCTAAAACCTCTTCACAAGTTACCCTTCTGTGTTTCTCATAGACATTCACTCAATGGCTCCAAGTTTGACTAAAGCTGGCACCGGCGACACTAACCTCGCCGACGGCTCTAAGTCTTCGTCATGTCCTTTCACGCTCGAGAAGTCCAACTTCAAGGCAAACGGCCATGTCATTCTCTCCGACGTGCCGGAAAACATAACATTCATCCCATCACCCTACAGCACCGCCGGCTGCTTCGTGGGCTTTGATGTTGCCGAGCCCAGCAGCCGCCACGTGGTCCCCGTCGGCCAACTGAAGGACATCCGCTTCATGAGCATCTTCCGGTTCAAAGTCTGGTGGACTACCCACTGGGTCGGATCCAACGGCCGGGACCTCGAGAACGAGACCCAGATCGTCATCCTCGAAAGCTCTGACGCCGGTAGGCCCTACGTCGTCGTTCTCCCCCTTCTAGAAGGCTCCTTCCGCGCCTGCATCGAGCCCGGCAGCGCCGACTTTCTCGACATCTGCGTCGAGAGTGGGTCCACCCGAGAAGTCTCCAAGGCCTTCCAGAGCGTGCTCTATTTGCACGCCGGTGATGATCCGTTTGCCCTAGTCAAAGAGGCTGTCAAAATCGCGAGGGATCATTTGGGAACTTTCCAACTTTTGGAGGATAAGACGCCACCTGGGATCGTCGACAAGTTCGGTTGGTGCACGTGGGACGCATTCTATCTTACTGTGCACCCTCACGGCGTCATAGACGGCGTGAGGAAGCTGGTGGAAGGTGGGTGTCCACCCGGCCTCGTGTTACTCGACGATGGGTGGCAGTCCATTGGTCACGATTCTGATCCCATCACCAAAGAAGGCATGAACCAAGCGGTGGCCGGCGAGCAAATGCCGTGCAGGCTCCTGAAGTTTGAAGAAAATTACAAGTTCAGGGACTACGTGAGTCCCAATGGTGGTGCCTCTGGTAAAGGCATGGGTGCCTTTATCAAGGATCTCAAGGAGGAGTTCAAGAGCGTTGATTACGTGTACGTGTGGCATGCGCTGTGTGGGTACTGGGGCGGGGTGAGGCCCAATGTGCCCGGAATGCCCGATGCTGTGGTGGTGGAGCCCACATTGTCTCCGGGCCTACAGAAGACAATGGAAGATCTGGCAGTGGATAAGATCGTGGCCACTGGTGTGGGGCTGGTCCCACCCGAGGTCGTTGATCAGATGTACGAAGGGCTCCACTCGCACTTGAAGTCCGTTGGGATCGACGGCGTCAAGGTGGACGTAATCCACGTAAGTCGTTATTTTTCTTCAATTTTTAATTCGATTGGTTGTTCATTGTTAGTTGGATTTTGGTCGGTGTTGAATTGTCACGTTGAAACTGCTAGGTGTCATTATTTTTGGATGCGAAAGAGAGAGAGAGACTATTTAACTTCTGTTAACTTACTTTGACCTGGTTGGTCGGCACGTTATATCTACTTTTCTTTTTCTCCTAACTTTTTAATTTTTGTAAGAATTTCCTTATTTTATTTTCATATTTACACAAAATAATTAATCTTTATTATATATTTTTATTTATTTATGCTGTAAACAGTTGCTGGAAATGCTTTGTGAGAATTATGGCGGGAGGGTGAAGCTGGCGAAGGCATATTTCGATGCTCTTACATCTTCAGTGAGGAAGCACTTCAATGGCAACGGTGTCATTGCCAGCATGGAGCACTGCAACGACTTCATGTTCCTTGGAACCGAAGCCATCACCCTTGGCCGTGTTGGTATGTTTCTGTAATTAAAAATTTTCATTTTGTTCTAACTCACTCCTAATTTTCATAAACAGAAATTAATCATTTTGCAAAATTGATGTTATCAGGTGATGATTTCTGGTGCACCGATCCATCTGGTGACCCCAACGGTACGTTTTGGCTGCAAGGGTGTCACATGGTGCACTGTGCTTACAACAGCTTGTGGATGGGCAATTTTATACACCCGGATTGGGATATGTTCCAATCGACCCACCCCTGTGCTGCCTTCCACGCCGCCTCTAGGGCCATCTCCGGTGGCCCTATATATGTTAGCGACGCTGTTGGAAAGCACAACTTTGATTTGCTTAGGACCCTGGTGTTGCCCGATGGCTCAATTCTCCGGTGCGAGTACTATGCACTACCAACTGGTGATTGTCTCTTTGAGGACCCTCTCCATGATGGTAACACCATGCTCAAAATATGGAACCTCAATAAGGTAACCTATCTTATATTCTTGTATTGTCAAACTGTGAATTTGAATTATTGATTATGTTTTGGGTCTTGAGCTAACAATACTTTTGATATGAATGGAACAGTTCAGTGGAGTTCTTGGGGCATTCAACTGCCAAGGAGGAGGATGGAGCCGCGAAACCCGGCGCAACCAGTGTGCTTCTAAATTCTCCCACAGGCTGACCGCCAAGCTCAACCCGAAAGACATCCAGTGGAAGAGTGGCAAGAGCCCAATTTCCATTGAAGGAGTGCAAGAGTTTGCCTTGTACTATCACCAAGCCAAGAAGCTTGTCCTGTCCAAGCCCAACGAGGATGTTGAACTGTCACTGGACCCCTTCAACTTTGAGCTCATTTTTGTCTCTCCGGTGACTGTTTTGGATGCAAAAAAGTCTGTCCAATTCGCCCCCATTGGCTTAGTGAACATGCTCAACACCGGCGGTGCCATCCAGTCCTTTGTTTTCAATGAGGACGAGAGCTCTGTTCAAGTTGGAGTTAAGGGCACTGGAGAGCTCAGGGTCTTTGCTTCTGAGAAACCAACAAGTTGCAGGATTGAGGGCAACGACGTTGCTTTTGAGTACGAGCAGAGCATGGTCATAATCCAAGTGCCATGGCCTGCTTCTTCCACCTTATCTATTGTGGAGTACAAATTCTAAATCTAGATTCTAGACAAGTTGTTTTTTCTTTTCTTTTCTCATACCAAGTCTCTTTTGTGTCTGCAACTTTGATTAGGACAAAGGGACTTGGTATATTTAAGCACTGTTGCCTAATTAATGACTACCTAATGATTTCAAGTAATACAAACTATTGAGCTTTTCATTATATATAAGCTTATAAGATTCTCTCTGTTTGTAATATTTTTTTTTGGGTTGTAATTTTCATGTTCTTAGTTTTCCTCCCAATTGTATTTGAGTTGCCCATTTTGTAGATGGATTTGGGAGATTTAGAAATCCTCTGTGGTGTAACTCTCCACCTTATTTCACCAAATGAATTGATTTGCTGCAAACACTTTTGATCTTCTCTTTTGCTACCAAATGAACTGTTTGAAACATTGTGCTTAACAAAGTTTAGACAAGACACCAATAAATTTCAGCCATTATTTTTGAATAACTGCATTCTTGTAACTCAGTTGGTTAAGAGCATTTAACTTTGCATCCGAATTCGTAAGTCTGATTCCCCTCTCCCTCAACATAGTTTTGTATTCATACAAAAAAGAATTGCATTCACAGAGTCACAAATGCAGGGATAATACAGAGCTTTTCCATGTTGCAATTTTAATGCTTTTGGTCCTGAAGAAAATAATCTTGATGGTTTTTGGGCTTCAATACCCTCTGATTGTCCAGAGTCCTTCCCTTGCCTAGATGCTACAATACGGGCTTTTTCTGAAAAAGAAAAAAGAGAAAGGGCTTTGTGGCCCAAAAAGGAACCAAAGCCCAAAGTAGTAAACAAAATTCAAAGAAAAATAATAAGAAATCAAAAGTCGTAAATTCGTAATTTGGTTTTTACGTCGCAAAGAAGCAAAGTTATTAAAGGAGGAGGTCGTCTCAAACTGAAATTGCTCAAACATTGCCAATCTTCAAGTTCAATCCTTAGCATAGATAAATAAGGAAATTAAATAATACAAATTCCAAAACCCGAAAAGGAGCATCCAAAATTTCAGGCTGCTGTTTGTATATACTCGATGAGCACGACGTCGTTTATGGACAAGCAGATAATGGATCTGTCACAGGGATCGCCGCAGCAGAACAACAACGACTTCATCGACCAGATGAAGATGAACGACAACAACCATCCCAAAGAGGAAGAAGAGCAGCAGGTCGGCCATGGAAATGGGCTTTCCAATAAGCTATATCATGATATGTTGCCCAGCTACGATTTCCAGCCCATTCGTCCCATCGTCGGAACTTCTTCGCAGTCGCAGAGCTTCGATCCCGCACCCAATCTTGGAGGAGGAGGAGCCGCTAGGGTTTGGAACTCCGGCGAGCCCAAGTCCAACACTACCGCTCCTATCAGAGTAATATTTTTGTTCCATTAATTGCTGAATTTCATGTTCGCATTTTCATATGAATCAATCGAAGTGATTAGACGTGAATCAGAATTGCGTTAGTTTGATTAGAATTTGTAGTTTCTCTGAAGCTGCATTAGTCGACTAGGGCAAGGGAGTGATCAATCAGTTCGGTAAGGACCATTTCATTACCATATAACAAATTGGCAATTATGTCAGTTCAAGAGGTTAATAGTTATATCTGATGATCAACACTCTCAGCTTAAAGCTGCAAAAATTTTATTTGCTAGATTTTGGGGGCTTTTTAGTTGTTAGTTGTTTTAATTTCTTCTAGGTAATTTAGGGAATTGATAATTGTGTTTGATTTCTATCTGTTTTGAGATTTTGTAAATTGTATTTGTTATTAGCATTTTGAAATTTTGTATGATATGCTTCAGGCTTCAGGTGAAGTTAAATGTTTTGTGATTGGAGGACTCTAATGAATTAGCCCGAGGGCAGTGCGTGAATTAGAACAACTTTTTGATTGATCATGTTGCCATGTATGTTAATTATTATTTGAGATTAGATTGATCAAAGATGATGCTATTGAAGTATTGATGTTTTGTCTACCATGATGGGCTTTTATCCACTCCCTTTTTGAAAATAGTAGCCTCCACTTGATTTTTCAAGACAATCTTCCTGCTGTATGGTAGACTTTAGGTAGACATTTATGATTGATAACTGTACGTCAGCTGTACCATTTGGTTCATTTACATGGTGCTACCCTTTTCTTGTTTCTTACAGAATTATGGCTCTCTGGATTCTATTGAACCTGCAAAAGTTATTTTACAGAAGGACCGAAATGTAGTTGATGCTACAGTTGTGTCAGAGATTGACCAGGCCATGAAGAAGCATGCTGATAATTTATTACATGTGTTGGAAGGTGTTAGTGCACGACTAACACAACTCGAGAGCAGAACCCGCCACCTTGAGAATTCTGTGGATGATTTGAAGGTATCTGTGGGAAATAATCATGGGAATGCTGATGGAAAGATGAGACGGTTGGAGGATATTCTTCGAGATGTATGTTGCCTTTACCCTTCTTTTTGGTGTTTTAGTCAAATAGGACTTCTGTTAATCTGGAAATCTTATAAATAGCATTGGGAGTATGATTGATGCATATGCAGGACGATTGTTAGTCTTGACCTTTGGTATATGTGCGAGTGCATGTCTCCTTATGATCCCAGAACTAAATAGAGAGCGTGAAAGCAAAGTTGCCCATCTCCCATGCTCTCACCAAATCTGAAATTCTTGAAAATCTTCAATCTTCTAGGCATTTGAATTGCGTGGTTTTGGAAACATTTTTACCCCAACAAGATAACTCCAAGTATATCTTACAGCAAGGTCTTCTTAGTTAGGTTTACTTGTTCCAGGTGAAAGCAAGCATTCATTTGTTTTGGCCTGAAAGCTGAAGTGTTGTTTATTAGCACACTAGCCTATGTTTATCTGTTTTTCTGGCCAATGTGTTTATGCTGCTTTATTGACCATTCTTCTCTTTTTGGTTTTTTGTCAACATCACGTACAGGTACAAACAGGTGTTAAGGATTTGAAGGATAAGCAAGACATAGTAGAGGCTCAGCTGCATCTTGCAAGTATACAAGTTTCCAATTCCAAGGTAGACCCTCAACCAGAACCTCAGAACGCTATGCATGGGGATTCTGGGCAGGCAGCTGCCTCTGCTCCTCAACAATCTCACCAACAACTTCCTCCCCCTGTGAACCTTCCACCCTCACTTCCTGCTGTCTCTCACCCAAATGCTCCTCCCCAACCTATGCCCCAAAGTGTACCACATACAGTTCAACTTCCAAATCAGTTTTCTCAGAACCAGATCCCTCCTGTCCCTCAGCAAGACCCTTATTTCCCACCGCCTGGTCAAAATCAAGGAGCCCCAAATCAGCAATACCAATTACCTCCGGGTCAGCAGACGGTCCCCCCTCCTCCAGTGCCACCACATCAACAATTTCAACCTCAACCACAGTATTCTCAGCCACCACCCCAGCTGCCTCAACAGCACCCTTCGCATACACCTGTTAATCCCTCTCAACTCCAGCCTACATTAGGCCACCATGCTGAAGAGACACCTTATATTCCTTCCCAGAACTACCCACCCAGTCTTCGTCAGCCACCTTCTCATACGCCCAGTGGTCTTCCCCCCTCCCAACAGTATTATAGTCCAGCTTCCCAAGCATATGAGCCGCCTTCTAGCAGATCCAGTTCAGGGTATTCTTCTGGGTATAGCCCTCCAGCTGGGCTTGGTGAGTCATATCATTATGGTGGATCACCTTCTCAATATGGTGGTAGCTCCTCAGTGAAACCACCACAACTCTCTTCTTCTGCTACAGCTCAAAGTGGAGGAAGTGGTTACCCACAGCTACCAACTGCTCGGGTACTACCACATGCATTGCCTACTCCATCTGGGGCAGGGGGTGGTTCAGCATCAGCTGGGACTGGAAACAGAGTTCCCATTGAAGATGTGATTGACACCGTGACAACTATGGGTTTCCCGAGAGACTATGTTAGGGCCACTGTTCGAAAGATGACAGACAGCGGCCAGTCAGTTGACGTCAATGTCGTGCTAGATAAGTTGACAAATGATGGGGAAGTTCAGCCGCCTAGAGCTTGGTTTGGTCGATAGTATGGTGTTGCCTGCTCCAGACCGATGTATATGAAGTATCACTTGTTTCTAGATCGTCTATCGCTTGGAACTTAGGAGATGCACCCTTTTATGTATTTTGCGTTTCTCTTAATTTCCTTCTGAGGGATTTACATTCCATTGCGTGCGATTTGCATTGAACCTATTTTCTTTCTTCGCTAGCTTCTGTAAGTGATCACATGTCTTCCTCCCATTTGTGTATTTACTCGTAATAAATGGCAGGTGGTTTATTGAGTTTTATCATCTGTTCATCCTGTATCATTACACAATATAATTTTGTTTTTAACGCTATTGCAAATTTTCCCTTGTGCATTTTTCTGCAGAAAACAGGAATCTTTTCCTCGCTTACCAAAGCGAAGAAAGAATATTATTTGTCAAAAATAAAATAAGAAAACCCCACCTTTCCAAACATACACGGACGCACCCCACCAAAAAAGGAATAAAAAAAGAAAGAAAAAGAAATGAAAAAAAAAGAAGTCTCTTGAGACACTTCCACAATTTCCATAATCTTACAGGAGAAAATGCAATTTTGTAATTCTAGTTTTCGTCCACACTTTATTTTATTTATTCCTTTTTTTGGCACAGCGTCATCTCTCTCAAAATTCCTGTTTGCTCCGCACAGCTCCAAACCCCCAAACAAGTCACAGTCGCAAAACCTCTTTCTCTCGCATATTACCACCCCGCCAAATCTCTCTCTCTTTCTCTCACGCAAAAGCTTTCGTTCGATAGACCCCCTCGATTACCTCATTTTTACGATCCTTACCCCTACCCGTTCCCTCTGCAACTATGTTTCTTCCCGAAATTGCCTTCCATGACCTCCGTGCATTGCTCCGCGCTCCGTAGCGAAGTTGAATCAATCTCTATGTATGAAGCTTTAGGAGGCATTTGTTGCTCAATTCTTTTAGAACACTCGGTAAGAATTTATGCTTAATTATTTGATTTTACTTTTCCGTTCTTTTAAACCTAAATTATCATCAGCTAATGCAATTCCTAGGAGTTTAATTTTCAAAATTCTGTTGATTATATTGGATTACTTAATCGTTTTCATATGAAATTGTGAAAGCCTATGGGTTTTAGGAGTTTAATTTTGATAGTGCGGACGTGTATGTATAAAATTGCATTCAGTTATTGACTAGTGTTTTTCACTTGGGTTTCGCTTACTTAATTTATTTAAGCTGTTTGTGTCTGTTTCTAATATGGTCATTGCTTTGTGCATTAATCATATCTATAGAATGTTGATTTAAGTGGTTCAACGATCATCATTCATTCTAATAATCAGTGGACATGAAGTACTGATTTTGAATGCAATTTCGCATAGCTCCATAAAAACAATTCAATTCATTTTACCTCTAAATTTGCGTTGGCACATGTATGCTGACTACACAATGTGTATTAAGTTGATATGGTTATGGTGCAAGGATTTCAAATTGTTTGCACCTCAAATGTTTTTCATGTTTGAGTAATTTTTTCTCTGGAACGGGATGATTATCTGCTCTTACCGTTTTTCTTTTTGGTATTTCCTGGGAAGTAATTTTAGGTTCTTTCACTGGAGTATTTATAGACAAACAAGTAATTTGATTTCTGCACTGGGAAATTAGGGCTATTGGTGACATAAAACAACATTCTATTGATTTCAAGGGATCAAATGGAGTTAAAAGTATCATCTCCAAAACCAGGGGGCCTTTCTCCTTCTGATTGTATTAGTGATCCTGAGGAAAAGGAAGTCAGTGATGATGATGATGATGATCGAAACCACAAACATCGTAGACGAGAGACTCGTTCTCAGTCGTTGGAGAGAGATACTCTTGACCAAGTTATAGCAAGGCCATACAGAAAGCGAAATAAACCTTTTGCAAATGGGAACTCTTTCAGGGATAATGACTCTCAAGCAAGTACAACATGGAGAAATTACAATTCCACTTCTCAAGACTTTTCTGTAAAATTTGATAAAAGACGCCCGGGATTAGCATCACTGCCTCGAGCACCTTTCGATTTAAATCAAAGAATCCGCGCAAACCAAGGATTTCCTGGAGACCCTGGTCTTGGTAGGGGAAGAGGAAGAGACTCTGGATCATGGGGCCAACGCGATTCTAGGTTCAACTCGGATATTGCTTCTCAAATCGTTCAGCAGGGATCCATTCCTCCAAATCTTTTTGCTGGACGCGGATTACCAAGTGTTTCCAGTGCACAGAATGCATCCTGGAATGCATTTGGATTGATTCCAGGAATACCTAATGGTGCCATGGATACACTACATTCCATTGGTTTGCAAGGAACACTCAGACCACCAATCCATTCTTCGATGAATATGGGGATTCCTCGTCAAAGATGTAGAGATTTTGAGGAGCGTGGATTTTGTCTAAGAGGGGATATGTGCCCAATGGAGCATGGTGTGAATCGGATTGTTGTTGAAGATGTCCAGGTACATTTATTGTGCATATCTTTCCTGTTATTCGATCATCAGTAACATATATTTGACATTGCACCAATCACTTTAAAAGTAGAAAATGGAAAGAGAATTGTGGCGATGCGTCTTTAGACTGAGGATCACCGCATCTACTGGGGTACAGGTGTTTTATGTAAAAAATTCACCTCAGTATAGTACTTTTTTCTTGGTAATGAATAATGTGTTGTTTATACTCTTGACGCTTTTAAGTTTATCCAGCCAATATCTACTTGTCTGCAACCTGAATGTTTAATGCAAGTACTTAGAGGGAGAGATGATGCATGTTTCTGCATTATGATTCAGTATTATGAATGTTTTATTGACATTCTAGCTTAACTTAAGGCTTTATTTAAATGTAATGTCTGCACCATCAACAATCTTCTTTCACATTCATTATGCCTGAATGTGTAATTTTGTACTCTATATGCGTTGGCATGTATAGGTCATACCTTGGTTCCGAAATCTTTAGGCTGTGACTTGATACCTTTTGTTTTTGTTATATTCTTTTGTATAATGCCAATCAGTTTGTGCATGTACCCACAAACACCTGTTTCTGCTGGTCTGTTTATGGTATCCTCGTTATTGAATGATTATTAGCCTTTGGATGTTTCTGTGTTTAGAGATCAAGCTTTTTACTTGAGGACTTTCTGCAACAAGATCTAACTCCCCTGTGTGCTAGCCATTTTTTCTTTTTGTGTTACCTAACTTGCCACTGGTCAAATGTTAAGCAGGGGGTTGGGATGGGTATATGATATATCTGATTCATCTGATCACAACTCATTCATGCATTTATTTATCTTGCTGCACTTTCTCTTGGCTGGATATTTCATTCTCCATAAACTTCATTCTTTGCTGGCCTGTGTTTTTACTTAAGTCCTAATTTCCCTCAATTACAGAGTCTTTCTCAGTTCAATCTCCCTGTATCAAGTGCACACCTACTGGGAAAACCCACTGGCCCTGGATCTCTACCATCACTCAGTGCATCTTCAGCTGCATTGATGAATAGCAAAGGCTTACACGGAAAAACAAGCAAGTCTGCTGTCAATGATGATGGTTTGGGCTTGAACGGTCCATATTCTGGTCCTGGTTATCTGGGTGGAGCTGATTTGTATGACCCTGATCAACCCCTGTGGAATAATAATGGTCCTGAAACCTCAAATGCCCTTCTAGGCCTGCAATCACCTAGGAATGATGAAATTGAATCTTTGTCAAATGATGATCCATCTGATCGTCATCATGCCAGGTTAGATATTGCTGATAATGAATGCCCAATTAGAAGCGTTGGGACAGCTGCCAATTCACAGAGTACAAGTGTGTCCGTGTGGGGTAGAATTGGCAGTTCAAAAAGTAAATTAGATGTGAAGGAGAAAATTGAACCTACAAATAATTCTTCAGATTATATTGAGAGTGAAACTAAGGAAGGTAAGGAGGCATTAGTCAGCATTCAAAATCCACCACGTCAAGGGAAGCGTATCATGGCAGAAGATGGCCCAAAAGCCATGGATTCATCACCCAAGACACATTTTGATCCTACACGTAACATTCGGAAACCATCTCAAAAAGCATTGCGTACTCTATTTGTCAATGGCATTCCCCAGAAGAGCAACAAAAGGGAGGCTCTTCTTTCTCATTTCCAAAAGTTTGGAGAGGTCATTGACATTTATATTCCATTGAATAGTGAACGAGCTTTTGTCCAGTTTTCAAGGAGGGAAGAGGCTGAAGCTGCTTTAAAGGCGCCTGATGCTGTAATGGGTAACCGCTTTATCAAGTTGTGGTGGGCTAATCGTGATAGCATTCCTGATGATGGCACAGGCACTGCCAGTAATTTTCCTGGTTCAATTCCACCCCATCCAACAGTTACTAGTATAAGCAAAGATAATCTTCAATCTGCTGCTCCAAAGAGTAGTATTGTCCATACATCTGATGCTTTTCTACCTTCCGCTGATAACTCCAAGCCTGTCATCTCAAATGGTCCCAAGGCCCCACCTCTGCAGAAAAAGCTAGAGAACTTAGAACAGTTAAAGGAGGAACTTCGCAAGAAACAGGAAATGCTGGACCAGAAACGAAATGACTTTCGTCGCAAATTGGACAAACTTGAGAAACAAGTAAACCATCTGCCCTTACCTTGAATGTTTCATTTTCTTGCTAATGCCACTTGTTTGATATGAGGCATGTATCATCTTGGCTTGCCTTACAAATTTTCTCATGTTATACTGCCATCTCGATGTACCTTATTTGCTAAGACAGTCTTTTTGCATGGTTTCAAAGAGATCTTATAAAGGGTTTGAAATTGATTTATATAAAGATGTGGGTGCAAATTTATTAGTGGGGTACATGATAACACTATTATTTCATTATCAGCTTTGCTCAAGGTTTGACTTTTTTCAGGCTACTGGACCCAAGGGTGAGGCAGACATAGAGCAAGCTGCTAAGAGACCCAAAGTGGGAATAACAGCTGATGTTGGTAAAGTTGCTAATCCAAAGTCCTCAAATCCGACTCCTATGGAAGAACTGCATGCTGAGATGACTGATAAAAACAAATGTGTAGAGAATGTTGTTTCCTGTAGTCCAAAAAACAGTACAACTATGGTGCTGCAGCAATCCACTAGCTTGAAGCAGCTGAGTATTCGTCCATTGGGATCAATAGGGACTCCTTCTCCAGTGAATAGATACAAATTAGACAATCGTCCCACTGCATTTAGAATTCTTCCTCCTTTACCCGCTGGATTCGCAAATGTAAGTCTCTCTCTCTCCTCCCCCCTCTCAAATCCTTCCCACTCAATCGCCAAAAAGTGAATAAATGATCTCTGCTCTTGGATATATGGCTGCAATACATGTGGCATCACACATTCCTCAATGAATGGGCCTATGTGTTAATCATGAGCAATAAAGCAACGAGTGCATTTTTTTAAAGTAGTATGAGGCATTGGGACCATTTATTAGGAATTTATGCAATACTTTAGATTCCGTTACATTAGAGATCAGGATAAAGTTCTAGCAAACGCATTAGAATGATTTCAATCAAACACAAACATGCTAGTTTATAAACATAAGTTCAAGTCTTAAAAAACACAACCATTTTTTCTTCCTTAATACCTTTTCCATATATCCTTCATATTTGCATTAATTTTTTTGTGTGGTAAAATATAATCCATTCTGGTCCTAGGTTTTCTTTTCAGTTGCATCACATTGAAATGGTCTGGAATCTGTTGGTCTTGGTGTAATTTTATCTATGTACCAATGAAAGCAAACTGATGTTTTGTGCTTTCTAGGTTGCTATTATGAAGGAACACTTTTCACCCTATGGCGATCTTTCTAATGCGGAGTTGGAAGATCTGGAATCCCGTGATTGTGGTAGTGAGTTGGAGGCATCAAAAGATTGCTCAGCTTGTATAACTTTCACGACACGCCGTTCAGCGGAGAGGGCATTTCTCAATGGTAAATGCTGGGAAGGACACGATTTAAAATTTATGTGGCTGACATCTAGCATTTCCAGCAATGACCGTAGTGGCAGAGAAAATTCTCCATCCACCACCACCACCCCCAAGGGGCCATTAATAGCTGATGTTGAGCCTGCAGATAAAGTAACAGACAGTGGTTCACAGGAAGCTGCTGCTGCATCAGGAAATGGAGAACCTGAACATTCCGAAAGACAAGGTAGTGTTGAGCACATGGAACCGGGTGAGTATTCCCAGTCTAGTCCGAGGTCAACATCTGCTGAGAAAGAGTCATCTAAAGGTGAAGCACTGTAATTTACACATGGGCTAATTTTCAGATTTGTACAGTCAGGTAAATGTTAAATCTGAGAAACTCTAATTTTCCAGGAAACCTTCTTTAGCAATTGCTTAAATTTTTATTTTTCCAGTGTTTCTTATTTGTATGCATGGGATTTGTAAAAAGGGAATTTCCTATTTTTGACTTTACCTGAGGATAGTTGAGTGGTGTACCATGTTGTCTTTCTGCTTATAGATTTGTCTAGGACCAAATCATTAAAGTTGAAAATTCTGTTGAAACATTTAAACGGTTACATAGAAGAAAATATTAGGGATTTGATTCCCTTTCAGTTTTATGCAAGTTGATCCAGTAATTTTACTGAATTCTCACTGGATTGTGATGCTATTTGCTTTTTATGTATTTGCTCTGTGAAAATAGTATTTCTGCAGTGCTTATCACTTCATTAAAGAAAAGATTCGTCGTGTCCAAAAATGCCCCTTTGATGATCTTGTCTTTCTATGTCAAAGACAATACAATAATTGTTGGAAAGTTTAATGGATGCCAATTGAAAAACGAAATAAAATTGTAACTAGCAGTTCTAACTTCTAGAGGGGAGGTAAAAAAAAAAGTGTCATATTTTATTTGAACAAGAATGAGCCAAAAGCTAACTGGTCCTGCAGCGATGGCAAAGGAAGAAACGGACATGAAAATGAGGGGCTCAAATGAAATAAAATAAATATTCAAGGAATAAAACCATAATTAAGTGCAAAGAAGGGCAGCCAATTTTGGTCACCTGCCTGAATGATTCTCTGTTTCTTTCTTTGTTTCACCTCTCGTACTACTCTACTTCGGTTGAATATAAAATAAAGAATCGACAAACTGAAGAGAAGGGAATATCCGAATATGGTCCATTCGAGATTCGACTCTTTCTCTTCATTATTGTTATTATGAGTAGTAATTTACACAAATTGGACCCAAAATTTGAAAATATAATATAATTTTAACTTACTTGAACATATTAAAGAAATGGCTATACAGCAAAGATGGACCGAACCCAAGAACACCAAATCATATTTTCAGACTGCCAGTGCCAAACAAGCAAATACTAAAAGAAAAAAGATTGGGCCTAGAATTCCAACCCATGACTTCCATTTCCAGCTGGCTGTGGTAAATTGTTAGCAATCAACTCAACTGCGATGCCAGCAGCAGCATCTCAAGTTTAGTTTTGTAGACCTTGAAGAACACTAATAATGGAAAATTGAGAGAGACATTCCAGAGTTGAAGGTCTCAGCAGGTCTGCCATCTACCAGTCAGTCAGGCCTCAGTTTCTCCGAGATAGAGTCCCCCGGGCCCCAGCACCTCCTAAAACAAGTAAGCTTCAGCCGGGAATTCATTGCTTTAAATGACAGACATGCTCAATCAGGAGGAACTTCCTGGAGAATTCTAATATAAGTGCACAGCATGCATCACATGGTTCAAAATTCACCTTCTATAGCAGCAAAGCAATTGAAGACCCCAAATTGAAAATTGGTCCCCATTTGACCTTAACTTCCTATTACTACCCCCATAACATAAGAATAAGTGCCACTGCCACTGCCAAACAAGTCACTACCCTGGCAGTGGCTCCTCATCTATGGCATGCTTTTCAGCCAATCCCTTACCTTTCCCTCATTATCCACCAAGAAACACAATCACCAGATTCACACTGGAAAACACATATCATGGTTGGCAATGTACTAGAGTGAAAGCATGTTGCATTGCACCTAGAATATCGGTCATAGGATACAACAAAATCCCTCACATCATCTGCCTAGGACAACAATGCCCAACATTCTTCTTTCTAAGTTTATTCCACATGAAGCTTGTCTTTATCTGGTCTTGCAGTTCTCCATAATCCATGGATCACATACTTAAATGTAAGGCTATTCGGTGCAAAACCCACTTTCATCATCCTATCCTGCAACTCCAACAACTTGGCCATATCACCATCCTCACAGAAGACTTTGACAAGTGTATTGTAACTTTCAGAATCAAAAACTTGAAATTCTTTGGCAAACAAGCCTAACAATGTTTCTGCTTTATCAACATCCCTTTCTTTGCAGTACCCCTTTATCAATGACCTGCATATCTCTAGATTAGGAGCCAAACCAGATTCTGCCATCTCTTCCATTAGAGATTCACCTTCCACTGTTCTATTTATGTGACATAGAGAGCATATTAGAGTTCTGTATGTAATAAGATCGGGTTTAATGTTCTTACGTACCATCTCGGCTTTCAAAAGCAGTGCCTCTGCCACATAAAGGTTTTCGCAGAGAGACTCAATCAATTTGTTATAGATATCCAAACCAGGCAGATGACCATCCTTAGAACTTCTTTCTAATAGACTTTTAGCTGCAAATGGTCGAAGTTCTTGACACAAGGCAACTATTAGATAATCATAAACATCATGAGAAATAGACACTTGAAATCTTTGAAGCTCCACAACCAAATTCAGAGCAGAGAGCAGCTTACCTTCTTTGCCATATCCTTCTATGACTATCCTACAAGTGAAATCATCTGGACAAATACCATTTCTGATCATCTCATGCAACAATGATCGAGACTCTTGCATCTTCCCCTCATGGCAATAACCACTAATAAGAGTGTTATACGATACAGTGTCTGGATCCAACCCTCTATCAACCATCCGATGAAAAATCTGATGAGCCTCCCTTACCTTCCCTTGTTTACAAAGACCATTCATCAAGGCAGTATATGAAACCATGTCCGGCATCACACCTCTCCTATACATGATCTTATACAAATAAAATGCATCTTCCAACCTTCCTTTCCAACAATAGCTACTAATTAGAGTATTATATGTCACAATATCGGGATCAAATCCTTCTTCTTCCATTGTCTCCAAAAATGCATTCACTTTATCAACATCTCCATCCTTGCACAAAACATTAATCAAAATATTAAAAGTATACACATTTGGGTGTATCCCAATCCTTCCCATCTCCTCATATACTTCCCAACACTGGTCAATACAATTCAACTTCACTAACCCATTCAAAAGACAATTACAAGCAATCACGCTGGGAATAAAACCAACCCTTATTGTCTTTTTCAAAGTGCTAAAACCATCTCCAATCATACCTGCTTTCACATAAGCCTTAATGAGCATGTCAAAGATAACCGGATCCCAGTTACAATCTTCAGTACACACAACCAAATTTTGGAAAATGTCATCTTTTGGTGAAACATCTCTGACCAACTCTATCAACTCCCATAACAATTTCATAGCTTGCGGAAACTTTTTGGAGCATGCCAGAATATGAATAGCAATACAATAATTCTGGGTAGTGGGTCTGAGACCCAAACCATTCTTGACCCAATTGAAAAAAACAAGAGCTGAGGAGTAATCAGATTGAAATCTGAGCAGAACCCTGGAAATGTCTTGAGCACCTAGATGAGGAAGAAGCTCTTTAATGTCATTTTGAAGAAGGGCAAGATGGGCGTTTCCTTGCTTAAGGCTTGAACAGATGAGATTGACTATGTTGTTGGGGTTTTGGGTTTGGGGAAGAAAATGATAAAGTGGGTTTGAAACTGATATGGAGTGAGAGTCTGGGATGGTCTGTAGAGCTGAAGAAGAAGAAGAAGAAGAAGAAGAAGAGAGAGCTGATATTTTTAGTATGAAATTGATGTTCAAGAGTGGTTTTATATGAGAGGGAGAGTTGGCTGACATAACAAAGATACGATTTATGGAACATGTTGAAGCACGATGCATCGCTAGCTAAGAGAGAAATGGATGGAGCGAGAGAGGAAGGCACCTGCTGCGAGTCTGCAACTTGGACAGAGGCGTGAATAAAACAAAATATTGACACCAATCGGCAAATATTTTTAGATCAGACAAACGACCTTGGGGTCAATTCGTGGATATTATCCATGTGTTTACTTTACAATGAAAATACAGAATAAGGAATTCAACTCATGATTTTGAGGAATTGAACTCTTTGGTGGGAGGTGGTATTCCTTTTTACCTATTACAGCCTCACACAATTTTTCAAACTTCAAATTTGTCACAAACTTTAACCCAACAACAAAGACATTTTAGTAATCAAACTAATTTCAATCCGATTTATGGGAATTTAGCAAACAACTTATAAGGAATCAAGTACCATTCCTACCCCAATTCAAGATAGTTTAGCAAACAATTTCAATGAGAATCCAGATTCAAACTCCTCCTCAATCAAACTCCTCATCAATTCATCCTTAATTCAGTTCCTTCTCGTCTGATTACAGATTAATTTTTTTTTTTTCAATGATTATAGATTAGTAAACATGCGAAACCAAATCCCTCGATTTTAGAAGATCTTGCATGTTTTGACTTCAGGTTGCACTTCGATTCGAGTGCATAACAAGAGCTGAGAGAGCTAAAGAGGAAAACGACCCGTCGTCTAACTACTACTTGCCCCCATTCCAACACTCCCTTTAACTTTCTGTTGTACAAGACCAAGTTCTTCCAGATCCTTCTGTTAAAGTGTGAAACTTTTTCCTAAAAAAAAAAATTGCGAAAGTTTTGATTGTTTGCATGTGAGAAATCAGGGACATTGATATTTTCCAATATTATCAATAATTATACGATAGGTGTATGGATATGTTCCAAAATATCCTAGACCCGAAAAAAACAATAATATGCTTAATATTTCGTCGATATTATGATATTATCGATATTTTAGACCTTTCCCAATTATCAATTTAGTAAAGGATGGAAGCAGGTGTAGATGATAACTGTCATAAAAGAGAAGCATCAGATAACTTTCTTTTTTCTTCTTCATTTTTACAGCCACTACACTATGTAAATAGGCAATGCTGGTAGGTATGTCAAGCAACCACCATATTCGCAAGCTTAAGCTGCTTCTCCAGAGGCAGGTAATCCTTCAAAGACACACAGGTACAATGCATCACTCTCAATAAGAATACAGCCATGGAATTCTCACTTTTATCAATGGGTTGCATGTCAGGCGGCAAATCCTCACACCGTGCGATATGTATAGCCCAGTTGTAAATGCGTTCTGTCGATGCAAACAGAGAAGGAACAACAAATTCCGCAACTCCACCCCAACTAGAGTCTGAGAGGAGAGAGGAAAGGGTGACAGGTAAATCGCTCAGCACAGTATCTTGGTCCAGAATCAGAAGAGGCATGTATTTGCTCCAGCTACCAGATAGCAACCCAAGAAATTGCAATGCCTGTAGGAGAATAAGGTTAATTTTTAATAGAGAAAAGACAGAGATATTCAAGCTGGCAAACAAGGAAAATGGTTCATAATTCGCATGAAT